AATCCAGTTTTAGTCAATCCTGATCTCAAATGATTACCATGTTTTGATCCTACAAATTTCCTACTCCTGTGAAGCCTGCAGGATTCCTATCAACCAGTTAGAATCATACAGGATGGACACAGACCCTTCTATCCAACGAGTCCACGCTAACCATGTACCCAAAATAAATTCGTCTCACCTGCCGGCACTTGGCCCATATCCCTCCAAACCGTTCCTATTCATGAACTTATCCAAATGTCTTTTAAACATTGTAATTGTACCTGCATCCACTACTTTCTCTGGCAGTTCATTCCACACATGAACCAGGTGTTTAAAAAAAACTTGACCCTCACATCCTTTATAAATCTTTCTCCTCTCACCTTAAAAATATGCCCCCTAATTTTGAACTCCTCTACCCCAGGGAAAAGACCCTCATCATTCACTTAATCCACACCCCTCATAATTCTTGTAAACCTCAAAAAAGGTAACCCTTCAACCTCCAATGCTCCAGTGAAAGATGTCATGTCTTTCCAGTCCAGTTCTCTCTCTCAAAACCTTCAGAATTGTTCTTATGTCTAAAAGCAAAGTCCTCTTCAGTCAGTAAAATGTTAGCTTCTCTGCTAACAAATGAAGGATAAAGAAAGATTTGCATCACCTAAGAGTTCCAGATCCTCAAATACTTACTGTAATGTGTCTACAAGAAATCACTTTTCCTGATGATACTGCATAGAGCATGCAATTCTAACTGCACCTTTACCCACCTGGGTACCACAGCTGTTACAAGCTGTACTCAGATGTGTTTCCCTAATTTGGCCGCCTTGTGATTGGCAGAGTGGAAAATTTGATGAAGTCAAAGGTCATGTGGTCAAAGTCAGTACAGGAGTTGTTAAAATAACAAGAGGAATTTGTTCCTGAGAAAAGTTGAAGCATCTAACTTTAATGCCTCCTACACCCAGCTGTGGGCATAAAATAAGTAATTTTAGTGAAGGGGCCATCAATTATGATCTGAATTATTCCCACCAGAACAAGAAAGCATTTCACTAAAGTAAATGCAGATAGAAAAACTGGGCATTCACACTCCATACTTGTGACCCAAACAGCACCTTTCCGCACACCAAAACTGGAAACATATTGCAGGCACTGAACCAGAGAAGTTGACGGACCACAGTGTGCCTAATTAGCAAAGTACAACCTGTGCTAGCAAACATAAAAGAGTTACAGCATGACAACAGTACTATTTCAGAAGCTAAGAGAATAGAAAAGGAAAAATCAACCTACATAAACATCTCTGTTGAGAACAGAAGTGGTCATTTTACCTCGAGTGCAGTCATTTAATAAGATCAAGGGTAATCTGGCTAACTTCAAATCCCCACCCACCCCTGATAACCTTTCACGCCCTTGCTTACCAAGAATTATCCACCTCTTAAAATATTGAAGAGAAGATTTTTCTTCATTGCCTTTTGAGTAAGAATTCCATTGACTCTCCTTCCTGAGGGGGGAAAAAATCTCATTGTCTTAAAAATCCCATTTAAGACCAGTAACTGCTAGTTCAGATTATCCCACAAGAGGAAACACCCTTTCCACATCCAACCTTTAGGGTCCTTCAACATCATTTCAAACTTTAAGTTGCCTCACTCTTCAAGTTCTAGTAGATACCAGCTTAGCCTAGCCCAACTTTGCCTCACAAGGCAACCCAAACACTCCATATACTCAAGTAAACATCCTTAGAAAAGTTTCTGCATTTATATCTTTTAAGGTAAGAGTACTGTACATGTTACTCATGTGATCTCACCAGTGTTATGTATAACCAAAGCATAATCGTCCCTTTTTTTCTCCATTCACGGGATGAGGGCGACGCCGGCTAGGCAGCATTTATTGCCCATCCCTAATTGCCAGAGGGCAGTTAAGAGTCAACCACATTGCTGTGGATCTGGAATCACACACGTAGACCAGACCAGGTAAGGATGGCAGTTTCCTTCCCTAAAGGGCATTAGTGAACCAGATTGGTTTTTACAACAGTCGGCAATGGATTCATGGTCATCATTAGATCCTCAATTCCAGATATTTATTGAAATCAAATTCCACCATCTGCCGTGGTGGGATTCGAACCCCAGTCCCCAGAACATTGTGGTCTCTGGATCAAAGTCCAGCGATAATACCACTAGGCCATCGTCTCCCCCGAATTGTAATACTTTGTATTAAATTTGCCTTATTGTAAACAAGTACATTCCATTTGCTTTCCTAATTTGTTGCACCTATCTTTTAAATCATTTTGCAAAAATAAGCATATAATTCCTTGAACATGGATGGCAAAGAAAACTTAATATTTCTGTTAGAAAGCTATCAAGCAGAGTTTGGATTATTTCTTTAATAGATTTGCAAATCAGGCGTAACAAAAGCAAAAGAACGCAACAAAATAAGTGGACGGACAAACAAACTGAAAAATGACTTTCCTTTCTTTATACAAGAGCAGCCTTATCCTAATTGTACACTAAGGAATTCCACTCAAAATCAAGTAGCAGAGAATTATATAACTGGCAATACTATTTCAAAAACAGAACAGACATGGTATTTAATTGCAATGAACTCCTTTTAAGTGTTTTTATTGTACAAGCATATATAAAAAGTCAAAGTTTTCTCAACTGAAACATTGGCAGGTGCCAGCTTTGGTCAGTTTAACAATGATATGCAAAACTATTAGCTATCATAAAAAAAGTAGCAATTCTCACCGAATACTACATTTACCTGGGGTCAAATTAGTTTGGAAATGATTATGCTGCCAGTGCAATCATGTATAACAAAATAAATCTGATGTTAATTCAGATAATTTGACTTTTAAGTGTCCTGAAATATTATGTCACCCAGGTGTTACTAATCTAGATAAACTATTTTTTCGCAGAAACTCAGACTTTTCATTAACAACAATTGGGTCTGATTACTTAATTTTCTGTGAAAACACTAACAATATTCAGAATTAAAACAGAACTATTTTTAACAGTAAATAAAAGTCTTTCTATACAATACACCAGGGATGTTAAGTCAGGATTGATTTGGTAGTACTCAATCAATTGGAACATCTTTGGCCAGGGACTGATGTAGAGAATGAAGGAAAATTCACCATTTTTTAAAATAAAGTTAGTTCGAGATCAGTAAATTATATATCAACTTGCACCAACTTTTCTTAGATTGAGCCAAGGACTTGGTGAACTTGATATTAACTAGCATTCTAACATGAATGAGTCGCCACAGCTTTGATGTCTAATGAACAGGACGAAAAAAAATCACAAGCTGGATACAAAGAATTTAGTTCAAGCAAAGTCTTGTCAAGTTACTTGAAAACATTAACTGTAACTATGCTAAAAGCAATAATAGCAAACCACCGAAATTAGTTAACACAGCAATAACAAAGATAGTTCAAACGTACTTAAGAGCCAGGTCCAAGAAATTGTTGACATATTTTCAAAAATTTGGTATAAAAAGTAATTAATTAAAT